TGACGGACGGACGGACGGACGGACTCGATTACCACATTACACCTTGTCCAATCGATAACTGATACTTACAAGAAGTAGAATGGCGTTCTGTACCCAAACAATTTTATGGTATGTCCACTATATGCAGCATGGTGTACCTTGAATGATGTCGCATGACCCTATTTTGCAAGTGGTAATAATAAAATGTCGCAAAGCGATAATAATTCCCTTTCATTTTTGCCTCTTAAATATTGGCCAACTCTCTCATCGTTCTCTGAATGCCCCAGTTTTCAGCTTTCTAGTTCTAGATCTATAACCCAAAAGAAAAAAAAAGGAAAAAAATTCGCCTTTTCTTCCAACATTGTACAGGGAAGATGGAAGATTTGTCTGCTTTGTCGACAAGACTGCACTAGCAGCAGACGAGGTAAATATATATAAATAGCTTTTCAAAGTTTCCTTTTGCCTTCATTACATTTGTTTCCTTTCAAAAATACTTTGAGAGCTTTGCTCACAATGTTCGATATAACTCATATCAGAATCGTGTTTGGTTAATTTACAACAGATGTCTAACAACGTATCCATGTCACATTACAGCTATTTCTTGATAACTTTATGAAACGCGAAGTACTTTCTCTGGTAGTCGCATGTCCCAATTCAAGTGATGGCTGCGAATGGAGAGGGGAAGTGAGATACATTGATGTAAGTCAAACAAACGTTTCATAGCTGAAGTAACAGTACTTATTGTAAGATGATCAACGACACTTCAGTCAAAAGTTATTAATGCACACTCTCAAGAAACTATGCATTTGGACCTTCCACAATCACACGGTTACTGCACAACTTGTACAACCATAACGTCTTGTCAACCTTACTAAGCACAACAAGATACCAAAAAGTAAGAACCAGAACGTGATACAACTTTAAACACAACATCTGAAACCAAGCAAAATTGCTTTGCTATGGTTTTAGTATACAGTGCATTCTTAGGGTACAAGGGCTCTAGAGACGACATTGGGCTCTCACAGAATCACCTGGTCCACTCACTCAATGAGACAAAATATTGCAAAGAGGAGAGCGAAGTGAACGAGTTCGTATTGCCTTTCCTTTCCATATAGAAGCACCGTTTGTCCTGCCCTGCGGAAAGACAGAATTGTTCCAACTACAACTGCCGCGAACGAGTTAAGAGATCGGACCTTCAGCGACACGTGGAACATGAATGTCCTTATCGCTCGCAGCTGTGTCCCTTATGCAAAGAATCCTTGACAGCAGCTGTACTTAAGGTTAGTTGGATGACTTCCATCAGGAAGTTAATACTAAATACAGTCACTATGGAGACGCAGAGGCGACGCTCACGGTCGTTTAATGAGTAACGCCCTGGATTCTTGATCAAGTGGCACAAGCTATGTTCTTGGGCGAGACAATTGACTTCTTTACTAGTAAACAGCCTTATCCTCTCACTAAGGAGTGGATCTCTGAACTGATATGCTCTTGGGATAATCATGATCATCTTCNCACATTACAGCTATTTCTTGATAACTTTATGAAACGCGAAGTACTTTCTCTGGTAGTCGCATGTCCCAATTCAAGCGATGGCTGCGAATGGAGAGGGGAAGTAAGATACATTGATGTAAGCCAAACAAATGTTTTATACCTGAAATAACAGTACTTATCGTAGGATGATCAACGGCACTATAAGAGTAATTAATGCGCACTATGCATTTAGACCTTCCATAATCACAGTTACCGCAGCACCTGTACAACCATAACGTCTTGTCGCCCTCACTAAGCACAACAAGATACCAAAGAGTAAGAAACAGAACCTGTCACAGCTTTAAGCATAACATCTGAAAACAAGGAAAAATCCTTTGGTATGGTCTTGGTATACAACGTTTTCTTAGGGTTGTTATCATGCTCGTACACAAGGGCTCTGGGGACGATATTGGGCTCTCACGGAATCACCTGGTCCACTCACTCAGTGAAACAAAATAATGCAAAGTGGAGAGCGAAGTGAACGAGTTCGTATTGCTTTTCCTTTCCACATAGAAGCACCGTCTGTCCTGCCCTGCGGAAAGACAGAATTGTTCCAACTACAACTGCCGCAAACGAATTAAGAGATCGGACCTTCAGCGACACGTGGAACATGAATGTCCTTATCGCTCGCAGCTGTGCCCCTTATGTGGAGAATCCTTGACAGCAGCTGTACTTAAGGTTAGTTGGGTGACTTGCATTAGGAAGTTAATACTCAATACAGTCACCATGGAGACGCAGAGGCAACGCTGGGGCCTAATGAATAACACCCTGGATTCTCGATCAAGTGGCACAAGCTATGTTCTTGGGCGAGACACCTGACTTCTTTACTAGTGAACTGCCTTATCCTATCACTAAGGAGTGGATCTCTGAAGTGATTATCATGATCATCTTCAGCAATACCCTTACCCTAAACCCTAACCCCAGAAACACCCCTGTCTTGCGCCGTGTAGCGATCTCAGACGCAAGCTAATAATGGCTTTACGGCGGAGAACATTACTTTCTCCTCAAAAATAATCAGACCAGATCAGGCTTCGATGTCCTTTTGCGGAACTGATGTTGACTGCTATTCGTGCTAATCCAACGTGCCTGGATATCAGATACTAAACACACAGATTCCTTATTGAACACGGCCCTCGTTGGTACCTTTTTACCATCTTTTTTCAGACTCACCAAGCACAGGATTGTAAAATGTATCTCGTGACGTGCCGCGGGTGTGGCAAAGAAGGAATTCCACGTGGAGAGGTAGCCATATTTAAATTCTTATTTTTCTGATACGCGATGAATTTTTTACTTCATGACGGAGAACACGTCACAATCAGTTGTGACTGGAACCATTGTTCCATTTTAGCCTTATTAAACAAAGCCGATTAGATTTTTTGATTTTCAGCAACGAGGCATCATACCTAATTTAGCATTCGTATACTACTTGTATTGCTTGTTCTAGCTGTTCTTATGAGACCGAACAAAATGGGTAGCGCTTTACTCTCAAAGAATTCTACAGTTTTGCAGCGCGTATGCTCCGAGACAATCCTAAAACACAATTTCGTCCCCAAGAGGCAATACTACTGGGATGGACAAAACCCGGTGTTATCACTTGAGAAGTCTGCCTGGGTTTGGACTTTTCAATGAACAAGTCCAGCATTGATAAAGATAACGTTCACTTCTAATCCAATTATTTCTTAATTCCTCCTGTTCCACTGACAGATGGCAAATCACCTTAGCCCCATCAATGGTGACTGTGAAGCAGTTGAGAGGTGCTGCGCATTTCAACCGATTGGTTGCGGTGAGAGCAAGGTTTGTATCAAAATATTCTAAACTGAAAGGCATGAAAACTGAGCTAATTTCTTTCAAGAAATGTTCACCATTCACCGACGTATCAGAGCATTAACAGCATTTAGACAAAGAGGTCGGGAAAAAAGGACCAGTTGTGCTTGTCACAATGGACCGCCTACATGTAAACACTGGATCGTGATCAAAGCTTATGTAGACTACATTTTAACACTATTTACTTGACAGAAAATGAAGCTGTCGGAGGCCACGAAACACAACGAAGTGTCTTCGATGTTCCACTTGAATCTGTTGTTGGCGTTTGTGTTGCGTCTGGAGGAACAAGTGAAAAGTCAGCTTGCCTCTGGTGGTGCATGTGGTGGCGGTATCAGCGATCATTGGATGAGGGATTCCGAGAGGTCTATTTCCAGTGCTATATCAAGCATAGATGCAGTTGTACGCGAGACAACAGACTTGAGACAGAAGCTTCAGGACAATTCTGAAAGACTGGTAAGGTTGGAAAGAAGAGTTGCAAGCCATGGTGACAGACTTCCAGCAGTGACGCCAACGTTCTCCTCGCTACAACCCTCTTATAACACGGACGAGATTTCTAGACGTCTCACGAATGCCGAAAATGGAAATAATAACATAGAGTTCCTAATAAGCGAGAATGGGCGCGAACTCAACGATCTGAGACAAGAGGTATCGTCACTTAAACGCCAGCTGGATGGTGCAGTGGATAGCATAAGGCGACTTGAGAGAAGAATGGAATCTTCAGAGCACAATTTAGCGCTCAGGAACGTTGTTCTCTCAGACATCGAGGAATATGTCCGACAGCAGCAAGTTTCCACGTACGACGGGACACTGCTTTGGAAAATATCGGATTACGCTCGCCGAAGAAACGATGCCATCAGCGGAAACCAGACGTCTATTTATAGCCCGTGTTTTTACACCAGTCGCCACGGGTACAAAATGTGCGCCCGTCTGTATTTGAATGGGGACGGCATGGGCAAAGGAACACACTTGTCGCTGTTTTTTGTCGTCATGCGCGGCGAGTTTGACGCGTTACTCCGCTGGCCATTCAGACAGAAGGTCACCATGATGTTGTTGGATCAAGACAATGTGGAGCATGTGATCGATGCGTTCAGACCCGATCCAACCAGCTCGTCTTTCCAAAGGCCCAGGCGGGAGACAAACATTGCAAGCGGGTGCCCCTTGTTTTGCCCACTGTCAGAGTTGAATAATCACGCCTACGTACGAGACGACACCATGTTCTTAAAGATTATAGTGGATACTCTGGATCTCTAAACATATAACTAAGACAACCTGGTAAGTTACAGTTAGAGAATCGGGGGAATAAGTTTCGTATTTGCGGTCAATACCGTAAAGCTTTTAATTACTTATCAAAGAACAGCGCTATAAGTGCGAGCAATCTACACTACTTCAGAAGTCCATTAGTACCTTTGAGAAGAACATTGCCAGCGAGCTCAGTCCGGTCTCGACAGCCAGAATTTTCCATCAACCGATACTTTCTCCCCCGACTTTAGAAGCAGACAATAGTGTCAAAATCTCGAAAAGAAAGTTAGCCTTTGAACAAGCTCCCGATTGGGTTACAGGGCAAAAAAGACTATGGCGAGCGGAGCTTGTTGACTTGCTTCGCTCGCCGAATTTTTTACACCTCGCATGGAGCCTGTTAACAAGCTAGAGGAATCTGATCTGACTCGTCCTCAGACGTCCACTAAAAGGTGACTAGGGTCGAATCAGAATAACTATTTATCTAACTGATTATAAGAGCGGTTTTCAATTGAGTGTTTATAAGTGACCACAACCAAAGTAATCACGGGCAAATCAGGGAGAATACTGACAATCCAGTAAACCAATCAAGACTCGAATCACATACATGTGGCTGACGCAAGACGCGGCAAAACGTGTATGAGCAAGTCGCGAGTGGTTTAACTTTTGGTTTCAAGTCCGACTGGATGAGAAAGTGGTAGGATATTTTTAAGCCAATCGCAAAGCGTATTAATGTAACCAAAGCTAATGAGGATTACTTTTGACACTGAAGTGAAAAGCGCTCTTTAATTAACTCAGTGTTCTTTTAAAGGTCAAATGAACCAAAATTTAGACACTTTTTCCATTTGAGTTCAGTGTGTTCATTAAGTATAAAATAAACATATTCTGAAGTTTCAAACGAATTGGAAGAAGCATTGCGGAAATATTGGAAAGTTAACATCATTGTTTTTTATCCTTCATAATCGTAGAGCGGTCGGGAAAATTGTCGAACAATTGTCGGAAATAAAACTTGTGACGTCACTGTTGGTGAGCTCAAGAAATGCGGGAAATTTGAAACTGCTTTGGTTTCAAGTTCTCAGTGAACTTCAAAGGAAAACCACTCAAAATCAAAGGTTAGCACTTTCAAGTTCCCCCAGGACCGAAAACTTAAAGGAGAATGGCTTATAAAAATGAAAAGAGAATGCTTTATTCCCTCGAAGTGTTCGCGCGTTTGTGTAAAACACTTTACCGAAGACAGCTTCGAACTAAATCTTGTAGTAAGGAGTTTGTTGGGACTCTCTTTCAGCTTCGTAAACTTGTAGTCAAGAAAGACGCGGTACCGACGATTTTTAACTTCACTATAGAACGTTGCAAGTCGGCAATTGGACAAAAAAA